CTGGTGGGCGGTGCGCCATCCATCACCGCGAGAAGCCCCCCAGTGATCGGTGACTGCTGATGCCGCGGTGCGCAGAGCCCGCTCCGATCGTTGCCGTCAGGGCCAAGTTTTCAGCCGAGATCGGAGGGCCGGCAATGGGGGAGGGAGAGCTCAAGCGTGCCCATTGATACCATCAACTCATTTGGCTTGCTGTGCCGCATTCAGCATTGAATGTCCTTTATTTTGCACTTAAAAGTACCTCTTCTGCTCTTCTTGGAAGGTACTTTTTGATATTAGAAACTTCAAAATCTATAATAATGATCTGAGTTGGGATTTAATTGTTGCTGTTATGGGCCACAGTTTTATGGTTTTTAATTTACAGCCAAACAAGTGAGAGCGCCCATATTCTGCGACCGCAGCTGCCTTTTCCAAGAAGATAATTAGAATGGAAATAATTACATTTCAAATGTGTTTTTTTTGTGTAAACATTGTCGGTTTAAGAAGGCTTCACAAATAACTGCCGGATGTCATGTCCATGACCCAGGAGTAGATGGTGAGAATGGCCAAGGCAGTAGCACCGAGAAGGAGCAGCAGCAGCAAGAGGCGGCGGCGGCGGCAGCGGCAGCTCACGACGACGACGAAACGAAACCCAAGACGACAGAGACTGACGTGGTGAAGGAACCCGTGGACACCCACGAGCCTCGGCTGGGGCCCCCGCCCAGGGCGCAGACTCGCATCAGCCAGCCGCCCGGCGGGAAATCGAGCATCTTCTTTTGCTGAACGCGTAGCAAACGCGGGGCCGGTTGGGGTCGTCACGTGGTTGTTTATTCGGGTCACACCTGACCCCAAGACTGGTGGTTTGGTTACCGGGGGATGTGTGTTAGGCTGCACCACTGCTACGATAGGTAAAATAATAGACGATTGAGGTAAAATTCACGATCGCAGTTTGACAGGGTACACGTTAACAAGAATTTGTGGAGGTGTTAAAAGTGAAAAGGGGTGTTCTAGAACCAGCTGCGCCCGAGATCGGCACTTGGCCATCGATCGTAAGGTGACGGCGCTGGGGCAAGTCGCGTAGCGGAGTGTACCGGCCCATCCTGGCAACCAAACCGTCGTCGTTTCCAAGGATCCATCTGTCCCTTCTGCCCTGATGGATCCCCGAGTAACTTGATTTAAACAAATTGGCCTTGACAGAAACTGTCAGGCGTATGAAAAGCGCTTCGAACATAACGTTAATAATTGATGTAAAGTCTGGTTACTGTTTCTGTTGACGTTTTGGCCGTAAAAAAGGCTTCTCCATAAAATGCGCTGGCAATCGTTCAGTCCTCGGCTGGATCTCTGTGCCCAAAGCTTCCTACACGCACGCTGCCTGGTGCCTTAAACCCACGCAGCTGTTCTGTGACGGGTTTGCCGTTGTCACATTTCCAATTGAAAACATGGCAAATTTTAATGGGCTCGAACGCTGTGACGGTATTAAATGCATTCATATTAATCGGCAGCCATTTGTACGCGCTTTGATTTTTTGTACTTTTATTTTTTTAAATTCTATCTGCGAAGTTGAAGCGTTGCGCTAATGGGACCACGACTTAACCTTTTGAAAGATTTGGTGAAAGAGAATACTTTGTAGAATTTAAGAGGTGACGGAAAAAGTAAAATAAACTGGGCAGGCCGAGGTTCGCTCGGCTTGGTGCTGATATTCTCCTGCGTTTGTTTACATAAAAAAAAAATGTGACGCTTCTTCTCTCCTGGCAAACGTAAAGCTCGCGCGCGTATGCGGCAGCGCGTTCTCTCACTGCCCCCCCCCCCCCCCCCCCCGCTGCTGCCCTCGCTGCGTTTGGCCAAACTCGCCGCACCTCCCACGCTCTCAATGCTTTGCTGTGCCTGTTCCTGTGCCGTGCCGCCGCTGCTGCCCATTGCTTGCGTGCTTGCTTTTGATGGCCGCACCTTTGCTTGTGTCTTGCTACCAAATAAAGCTGCTGCATTTACTGCAAAATGTAATCGTGTCGGTTTGTGTTGGTCTATTTTCTGTTACAAATAAATAAAAAAAATTCTGCCTCTAATAAAAAAGTTTTTTTTTTTAAATAGAGGCAGAACGTACGCTGGTTTGACGATTCGATGGGTAAGGAAATGAACTTGGACAGGACGCGTCGCTAGAAGGGATGGTGGTCAGTGGTCGAGACGAACAGTGGGAGTGGAGGCCAAAAATGAAACGTTGGAGCAGACGCAACCGAGGAGATGGAGCGACGAAATCGGGCTGTATACAGGTGCTGGGTGGATTATTACATTGCAAGATCGCGAAAGGTGGCAGCAACTGGTGGTGGGATGCCTCCATCCAGCAGTGAGTTGATCAAGGATTGATCATGAATTTACAGCGAAAGGCCTGTTCGTGCAAAATGTGTGCTGGCAAAGGAGATCTAATGATGCAGATGCTTACCCCCGAGTCCTCATTACTTTGATAATGCATTGTCTTTGAGCTGTACGCCTTTTGTCGTCCTCTGGTCTCGCACCAATTGAGACGAGGCTCAGAAAGCCGTCTCTGGTGTGGTTTCAAGGACAATGCATATATCGGTGTTTTTTGTTTGCATTTTGACCACAAGTATTGTGGGTAATGTACACATGATTCCTTGTAAAAAGGTTTCAATTTTGTTGCCAGAAAAAAGGGTAAAAACCCTATTATATTTTGGTACTGGCAAAGGAGGTCTAATGTAAATATGCTGGTTTGGACAATTTTGTAGTTGGTCGTTTCTTCAGGGAGATTGTCTTCGACCATGACGTAGAATATTCACCACCTGTGTCAAGTTCGCAAGTGTCGACGAGTCGCGCCAGGAAGACAGCCTCTTGAGGGTGAAGCACACATGATTTAATATAATTATAATAACTTTGCATCCACACCATTTGCTATAAGTCACTTGTTTTTTTATCTTCACAGGTAAGGCCCACTGAGCTATGTAGCTCTTTTTCAAAAGCGACCTGGCCACAAATGATAGCTCAACGAAGTGGCTTATTGCGTGGGAATTTATAGCAGCCTGCAATAGATTAATGTGTCCGTCCGTCCCCTTTCAATACTTTAACGAAGTGAAATCTCGTGCTGTTGGGGTGTAAAAATAAAATTGCGCCAAAATTCCAATGTTCCTACCAGCCCACCCTGCAGGGACCTGTTTTAAAAAAAAAACTTTAAAAATAATTCAGTTGTGTTTAAAACAGTAAAACAAATTACAGGGTGCTTATTTTTTTTTAAAAACACTTATACGGGACTATCGTTTTTAATGGAAAAAACAACGTAACATGATAACAAATGTATATTAATAGCTTCAAAGAGTCTCCACTAGTTCCGCATCATTGTCAAGACGCGCCTGGAATCTCCTCCAGGTGGTGGCCCGAAGGCAGCACATTTCTTGCGGTATTTGTTGCAAATTATCAGACGTGTTCAACATTTCTGAAGCACCCTGTAATGATTCTTTTCAACGTGAATTGCCTAATGAAGATGACATTTTAAGTTGTTCACATTAGACACCGCCGCAAACGCCACGGTCTGATTTGTCCCCCGGGGAGGTCTCGGGGGCCGCCTGTGATAGGCGTCCTCCGAGTGAGAGGTTTTCCCCTCGTTCCTTGCGATTATCAGCTTCTGGCATTTCAGCCACGGCGTTCGGAGACCCATTCAGGGCGGTGAAGAAGGCGGCCGTGGCCGCAGTGAGACGATACCACGACGCGAGGTGGCACTGGTGCAGACGCAGTAGGTCGCACGGCCTTCGGCAGCGTCAAAAGCGTTGTGTGGTGTGGACTTGGGGGCTGCATGGGGACAGCATTTGAGTGCTTTGTTGTTTCGTATTGTTTTTAAATGCCTACCGTTGGTAGATAAGGAAGTTATATCACTTTCACGGGAAGGCCATTATAACAGGACGAGGTTTTTTTTTCTACATGAGAACACCAACTTCTCAGAGGTCACTCACAACAGCCCCACCTAGTGGACATGTCACGGTTTACCCCGTAGTCTTGTGCAGGGAAACAGTGTTCAGGTCCATACGGCGTACAGCCGTTTCAATACGGGCAACAAATAAAATAATGCGTGTCTATGTGTTTGTGTTTCTTCCCTTGTGATGATGGGACTTTGTAGGACGAACGTTGAGATTTATAAGGGGTACGGGGATAGTGTAGTGTATAATAGTGTAGTGTATAATAGTGCAGTGTATAATAGTGTAGTGTATAGTGTAGTTTAGAGTGTAGTGTATAGTGTAGTGTATAATAGTGTAGTGTATAATAGTGTAGTGTATAATAGTGTAGTGTATAGGTCGACCGACCCATACGAACGAAATGAAGTCGACACAAACGACGAAGATGATGAAGAAGCAGGAGAAGAGAATGAAGAATAAGATTTAATAATAGGGTTTTTCCCATTTTTTTCTGGCAACAAAACTGAAACCTTTTTACAAGAATTCATGTCTGCATTAACCACAATACCTGCAGTCAAAATGCAAACAAAAAACATACTATGATAATATATGTGGCATTGTCCTTGAAACTGATTGGTCCACACCAAGGGACGGCTTTCTTTTGAGCCTCGACCCAATTGGTGCTCGACCAGATGACGCCAAAAGGCGTCACACAGCTCAAAGACAATGCACTATCAAGCACCAATTGGGTCGAGGCTCAAAAGAAAGCCGTCCCTTTGGTGTGGACCAATCAGTTTCAAGGACAATGCATATATTATCATAGTATGGTTTTTGTTTGCATTTTGACTGCAGGTATTGTGGTTAATGCAGAGATGAATCCTTGTAAAAAGGTTTCAGTTTTGTTGCCAGAAAAAAAAAACATGGGAAAACCCCTATTATTACATTTTGGTACTGGCAAAGGAGGTCTAATGATAAAGAATAAGATTCTGATGAAATCGAGGAAGCGCCGCTGACCGAAGCAGTCGACCAAATACAATCCGCGCTTGGATTCGCGCCGGAAGTGGAGGGGGCGGGGTTTGTATGTGTGGGGGCGTGGTTTGTGTGGGGGCGGGGTTTGAGAGGGGGCGGGGATTGAAAGGAGGGGGAGGGGCGAAGGCGAGCGAGTGGCGGGAGGCTCCGTGTGTGCTGGGCTAGCGGCCGAGCCGTTCGATCGTCGCCTCGCGTTTTTTCTGTCGATTGTTCGGTTTGTGGTTTTCTTTGGCGGGTGTTCATCTGCCGTTGTTTGTTCTTGTACCGCGCGGACTGTTTAACGATCGAGAGTCGGTGGCGGAGTCGTCGTGAAGGGGCGGGCAGGGCAGGGCAGGCGAGCGGGCAGGCGGGCAGGCAGGCGGGCAGGCGGGCGGGCAGGGCAGGGGGTGTCGTGGTGAGGTGCTGAGGGTGTTGTGAGGCTGTGGTGAGTGAGGTCTGTGTAGGGTGGTGAGGGTAGGGTGGTGAAGCTGTGTGTGAGGTGTGTGCATGGTGGTGAGGCTGTGGTGTGTATTAAATGTTGAACTTCTTGGGCACCGTACGTAGCCAAACCGTGCTAATCGGAGGTGCGGGAAAAGGTTGGTTGAGGGTGAGCGTAGGGGTGGTGAGGTTGTGGGGTGTGTGTGGTGAGTGTGAGACTTGTGCAGGGAGTTGAGGTTGTGTGGCGAGTGTGACGCGTGGTGAGTGTGAGGTGTGTGCACAGTGGTGAGGGCGAGCGTAGTGTGGTGAGGCTGTGGGGTGAGTGTGAGACTTGTGCAGGGTGGTGAGGTTGTGTGGTGAGTGTATGGTGTGTGCATGGTGGTGAGGGCAGGCGTAGTGTGGTGAGGCTGTGGGGTGTGGTGAGTGTAAGGTGTGTGCATGGTGGTGAGGGCAAGCGTAGTGTGGTGAGGCTGTGGGGTGTGGTGAGTGTGAGGTGTGTGCATGATGGTGAGGGCAAGCGTAGTGTGGTGAGGCTGTGGGGTGTGGTGAGTGTGAGGTGTGTGCACGGTAGTGAGAACGAGGGTAGGGTGGTGAGGCTGTGAGGTGAGGGTGAGGTATGCGGTGGTGAGGGTGTTGGGTGGTTGTGTGAGGTTGTGGTGTGATGATGGTGCAGAGTGTGGGAGTTGTCAGGCTGAGGATGGTGAGGGGTGGAGGGTGAGTTTAGAGCGAGGAAGTTGGATGGTTGAGTGTTGTGTGAGGGGGTGTATTATAATGTCTTTATGTTTTGTGTACTTAGGGGTGGTATAATGTCAGAGTACATTGAGTGTGATAGTCATATGTGTGTATGTAATGGTAGTGTGTGTGTGCGATGGTGTGTTATATATGCTGGCCTTCATAGGTGCTCGCTTACAGCACTTGCCCCAACAGTCTGTGACAGCTATACTGGGGGATGTTTGTCTTTATCTTTGGTGTGTATGATGGCCGAGTATGAAGACGCAGGGCACACGGTGTGTATGCAGGTTGAGTGCTACAACAGGCGTGGTGGGGCTGAGCTAAAGTGTTCCGTAGTAGTGATGGTGAGGCGTGCCGTGATGCACACCCGTGGACAGAGCGAATGGGTTCAGGTCATGGGGTCGGCAACCAGAACGGAAACTTTTTTTTTCGAATTCGATCAAACAAACTCAATATTTCAAGAGCCGCAATGCACGTGATGAATACGAGACGGCGGTCCTCAATCAACAAAGTTACTAAGCGGTCCGCGGGTTTGTCGACCCCTGGGTTGGGGGGGGGTGCACCCCCAGGCTGACGTGAACACGCCTGGCTGTACGCTTTGATTCTTTCGGTAAAGTCACAGTTAAAAATAAAATAAATAACGCGACTTTACCGAAATAACCAAAGAGTTTGGATTCCTGCAGTCACAAAAGCTTCAATTCACGCCTGTCTGTGTTTGTAGCAGCTGAACCGTCTGCCCCGCCTGCCCGCACACTCCCAGCAAGATGAGCTTTCCTGCCCACGATTGGAAGGAATTTGCGGAGAAGGATGTGGACGAGGAGGAAGAAGAGGCGGCGGAGGGGCAGGGTGCGTATTTTTTTGTGTATAGTGTGGCTTCTCCCACCTCTTCCAAGACGTCTGGCCAGCATGGAAGAGTAGGCCAAATACCCTCTAGAAGGGCCTCTCTAGAGCGGCTTCCTCGCCCTGGTATACAAGAGGTCGTGGGTTCGATCCCGACTCCTGACATCTGTATATTTTGAGTTTTCATGTTTCTCCCCATAGTCGTGTGGATTTTTCTCCAAGTCCTCCAGGTTTTCCCTCCACATTTAGAAACATGCGTTTTGAGTAATTGGCTGCTATACATTTCCAAACGATAAGCCACTTCAATGGGCTATCATTGTGGCCAGGTGACTTCTGATATAGTTCAGTGAGCCTTACCTGGTAAAATAAAAAATAGTTGAAGCAATTGCAAGACTGCACTTTTTTTGTGTATCTTGGGTCGGTGCAGGTAATGGGGGCCCCTCGGTCAGCCGAGACAGCCTCGTGTTCCTGGTGGACGCGTCAGAGGCGATGTTCATCAAGGAGGAGGACTCCGAGCACAGCCCCTTTGAGATGAGCATCAAGGTGAGCGGATCTGATGCCACGGTGGCTAGATGTTAACTCCCTCGCCTGGTATACAGGAGGTCATGGGTTGATCCTGACGCCTGCGGTATATTGGGAGTTTGCATGTTTTCTCTCTTCCTGTGGTCGCATGGATTTTTCCGGTTTTTCTCTCCACATTTATAAACAACATGCCATCGAGTATTTGGCTGCTATACATTTCCACGTGATAAGCCACTTTGTTGAGCTATCATTTTTAGCCAGGTTGCTTCTGAAACGGAGCTATAGAGCTCAGTGGGCCTTACCTCGTAAAATAAAAATAGCCTAGTTTTTCTGTCTTTTGCAGGTGCCATAGCCGAGCTGAACAAGGGCAATTGCCCAAAACGTCCCCTGTTTAGGCCACGGAATAATTGACGAATGTTGAGTTTTGTTGTTGGTTGCGCATTGCTACAAACGCAGCAGCAGCAGCGGCAGAATGATTGTTTCAATGAAACCAGGCGGCACGCTTTCCATATCCGGCCCCACGGGCCAAAGGTTCTCCCACGCCTGGTTTAAAGTTATCTTAGACATCCGAAAAATATAGATAATTAAAAAGGGGCATTTTTAATGTTTTTGTTGCCCCTATTGCCCGTTGTGTTGCAATTGCGATATCGGAATGATGTAATGAGGCGAAGACATTTCCATTCAAAACCTGCACATTGTTAAAGCAGTTCAACGCCACCTCCGGCATCAGGGTCCCTGCCTGCCCGTAACAACTTCACGTTTGCTCGACCCCCTTGACTCCCTGGCCCCACCGTGCAGTGTGTGCACAGTGTGTACCGCTCCAGGGTGGTCAGCAGGGAGCGCGATCTCCTGGGGCTCGTGTTCTTCGGCACAGAGAAGCACACCAACGAGCTGTTCAAGCACGTGTACGTTTACCACAGCCTCGACATTCCCGGTGAGCAGCTGGAGCTGCACCCGCCATCGTCACAGTCATCATCACTTTGATCACTAATACGTAGATTTCCGCGGTTGTGCTGCATATCTCTTGCTGCGTGTTCATTGTGTAAATATCAGCCCTGGGGAGACAAAGGCGGCCGGGCGTGGTGCTGGTCACCCATATTCTCGTGTGCCGTGATGACCCGCCCATACTGGACATCTGTGAAAAAGAGCTTCATATCTCATCGGATTCCACCAGTCTATATAAAGATTTTGTTTTTAATAGGTGCTCTTTAACAGCACTTGCCCTAACATCCTGAAAATGCTATACGGGGGATCTTTATCTTTGTGTGTGGGTAAGGCGCAAGCCGCATCCTGGAGCTGGACCGGCTGACGAGCTGCGACGTGCGGTCCAAGGTGGAGTCGCTGCTGGGCCACTCGACCGACTTCTCCCTGCGCGACGCATTCTTCGCCTGCTCCCAGCTCTTCAGCGCCTCCAAGGACCGGCTGAGCCACCGGCGTGTGTTGCTGCTCACTAACCAGGACGAGCCTCATGCCGACAATGCGGAGCGAGCCAAGCTGGCGCGCACCAAGGCCGCTGACCTGCGCGGCATCGGTGAGTCGCCTGCCACCGTGGACGTGCCGATTCATCGATTACGCGTGTTTTTCCTCAACGCTCGTGGTTCGTGCGTGGCGAGATGTTAATTCCCTCGCCTGGTATGCAGGAGATCGTGGGTTCAAATCCAAACCCTGATGCCTGTATATTTGGAGTTTGCATGTTCTCCCCGTGGTCATGTGGATTTTTCTCCGGGTCCTCCGGTTTTTCCCTCCACATTTAGAAACATGCATTTAGAGTATTTGGCTGCTATAAATTCCCACATGATGAGCCACTTTGTTGAGCTATCATTTGTGGCCAGGTCACGTCAATAAAAGAGCTACGTAGCTCAGTGGGCTTTATCTGGTAAAACAAAAATAGCTATAGTTTAGTTTTAGAGTGAACGACACAGAAGAAACGGAGACACAAAAGCACAAACCGAAGACAAAGTACAACCGAGACGAAAAAAAATCATCGATCCGTGACTTTGAATCGTGACAGTTCATTGATACACGGACGGCTGGGGATCAATTATAACACACGCGGGTCACCGTTGCCGCCCTCCATTATTCACACACGAGCCTCAGGAGTCGCATCGCGAGTCGTTGGCGGCTGGCGACGAGGAGCGGGGGTGGCGTGAGGCCGCGTTTGCCACGAGCCCCGACCCCCCCCCGCCATGCGTCGCTGACGCTTTTGCGCCCCGTGCTCGTGGCCAGGCGTGACGTTGGAGGTGCTGCCGCTGGGCAAAGCCGGCGGGTTTCGCATGGACGCGTTCTACCGCGACATCGTCAGCGAGGAGGAGGGGGGCGGGGACCCCGGAGCGTCGCGCGACCCGGCGTGTCGACTCGGCGAGCTCCTGCAGGTGGTGCGCACCAAGGAGTACCCAAAGAGGGCGATGGCTCGGTGGGTTCTCATGCGCCAGGGGATGAGCGTTTGCCGGCCGTCTGCGTGTGTGATTGCTATTCTATTTTGTGTTTAGTTTTGTTACTCTTTGATTCTTTCGGCAAAGTCACGTAGGTATAAAATATTTTAAGAGTATGGATCCCTTCAAACAATGTAGATTGTTTAGGTTTGTTGTCCTTCCCCCGCACCTCCGACGAACACGGTTGGTTACGTACGGTGCTCAATAAGTTCTACATACGAATGGGGAGTGGTAGTGTAGTGGGGAGCGGTAGTGTAGTGGGGAGCGGTGGTGCAGCGGTTAGTTCGCTGCGCAACGAACCCAGTGACCCCAGTTCGATTCCCGCTGAACGGCCAACATCGGTGACGATTATCTGAACCGGTTCTGGGCCTCCCCTCGATCGACTCAGCCTCAAAACCTAGTGTGATGTGTAAACATTGCCACTACGGACACAAAGGCGGCCGAGCATGGTGCTGGCCACCCACCTCACGTGCTGTGTTGGCCTTCGTGGTTGCTACTCGCTAACAGTACTTGCCCCAGCAGTCTGTTCAAGGCAGTATGGAGGTCTTTGTCTTTGCAGTGGTAGTTTAGCTATTAGCGCGCTGCGCTTTGAACCCAGCGACCCTAATATGATTTCCGCTCACGGCCAACACTAGTGATGACTATCTGAACTTGTCCTGAGCCTCCCCTAGGTCGACTCAACCTCAAATGAGCACACGGTGCGATGCGTAAACATCAACACGAGGGAGACAGGCGGCCGGGCATGTTGCTGGCCACCCACCCCTTCGTGTGTCATACCAGCACTTGCCCCAACAGTCTGTTTAAGCTACGTCTGTCCTTCTTGTTCATGCGTGCGTGCACCAGGCTGCCGCTGAAACTGGGCGAGGGCTTGAGCCTGGGCGTCGCCGTGTACACGCTCACGCGCACTGCCCACAAGTCCTTCCCCGTAAAGCTATACCGCGAGACTAACGAGCCCGTCAAGGCCAAGAAGCAAACCTTCCACGCCAAGACGGGTCGCCTGCTGCTGCCCAGTGACACCAAGAAGTCACAGGTGAGAGGGCGGGCGTGGTGAAGGTAGGTAATATTAACCGTAAACTACCGCGTCATCTCTTCACATCGGAGGTTAAAGATCCCGTGGCGATGTTCATAAAGGCGTAAACATCACCACTTGGGGAGACAAAGGCGGCCGCGGGTGGTGCTTGCCACCAAACCACCTTTGTGTACCATATCGAGCTTCGTAGCCGCTCGCTAGCAGCACTTGCCCGCAGCAGTCTGTTAGGGCTACAAGGGGGATCTTTTGTTTTTGTGCGGTGCGACATCAGGTGTACGGCTACAGACAGATCGTGCTGGAGAACGAGGAGGTGCAGGAGGTTAAGAAGTTCTTCGAGCCGGGGCTGGTGCTCATTGGCTTTAAGCCCATGGAGTATCTCAAGAGGCATCACCACCTGCGTCCCACGCAGTTCATCTACCCCGAAGAGAGCCTCTTCACAGGTGTCCAACCCTAACCCTGACGGCCGGGATGCACGGGAGGACATTTTACAGGATTATATGTGTTTGTGTGTACGTGTTCATGTGCGTTGGCGCGTGTGTGCGTGCTTGTTTGGGGAGCAGTAGTGTACTGATTTGCGCACTGCTTCACGAACCCTGTGACCCGAGTTTGATTCCCGCTCACGGCTAGCATCAGTGACAAATATCTGAACCACTCCTGGGCTCCTAGGTAGACTGAACCTCACATTAGTATTTTGGTGCGGTGTGTAAAACATCAGTTAAAGGCAGCTGGGCATGGTACTGACAACCCTGCTCCTTGTGTGCCGCGCTGGCCTTAATAGGCACTTGCTAACACCACTTGCCCTTAGTCTGTTAAAGGCTTCACGGGGGAATCTTTCCTTTGGCTGTGTGCCACCGTCACTTAGTTGCGAATGGCAGCTTGTTGTGTGTACACGTATAAGTGTTCGAGTTGAGGTGTGGGTGTATGATTGTGTACGCATGTGCACGCATGTGCATTCGGTGTGGGTGTGTGCGGACGCGCGTGCGTGCGTGTGTTGTGTGGTGGCACGTGGGGAGCGATAATGGAGCGATCAGCGCGCTGCGCTGGGATCCCAGCAACCCGAATTCGATTCCCGCTCACGGCCAACGCCTGTGACGATTATCTGAACCGGTCCTTGGCCTCCTGCCCTAGGTTGACTCGGCCTCGAATGAGTACCTGGTGCGATGTGTAAACGTCGCCACTGGGGAGACAAAGGCGGATCGGCGCGTGGTGTTGGCCACCCCACCCCCTTCCTCGTGTGCTCGCCAACAGCACTCGTGCCCCAAATGTCTGTTAAAGGCTACACGGGGGGGGGGGTGGGGGGATCTTTGTCTTCTTTGTGTAGGGAGCGGGCGTCTCTTCACGGCGCTGCTAACGCAGTGCCTGAAGCGCGGCGTGTGGGCGCTGTGCCACTACACGCCGCGCCGCAATGCGCAGCCACGCTTGGTGGGGCTGCTGCCGCAGGACGAGGTGAAGGAGGAAAACGGCACTCAGGACACGCCGCCCGGTGAGAGCCGCCGCTCGCCGTCACGCTCGTGTGGTCGCGACGGCCGTTCCTCCAGCCGCTGCGTTCGGCGCCATTCAATCCAGGAGTTCCTTATTGCGTTGTCTTGTTTGTTCTGTTCATATAACCTTGCTCACTTCGAGAAATTGAGTAACTTCTCATCGAGTACACCCTCAGTTGTGCTGCTGCTAGCTGCGCTTGGCATTTTTTTAGGTCTGTGGACCTGTTACTCGGCAAATGTGATCAAAAAGAATATTTACGTCTAAATCGTCGTATTGTTAAATAACCACCGCGCTCGACCTTCACCGATTGTTCCCACCTATTTTAGCTTTAGTAGCGTTGATTCTTAAATTATTGTCGGGTTAGGCCACATTTATTTGGCAATATCTGTTGTAAACTCCACCCCCCTCCACACCTGACAAAGCCAAACTAATGAAATTGGCACTTGTACAAGCGATTTAATGTGCCAACTATTTTTGGTTCAGCTCACTGATAATTGGAATAATAATTCCCACAACCCAATTCAGCAATTAGACACGATGTTTCGCTTGGAACTATGCAAAGCATCTTCAGCACAATATCCAGAAAGTCAGAAAAATATTTAAAAGGCAGAATATAATGATTTTTGTTGAGGGCCAGTTGGGGGCTTTGGGCGTCTGCTCAGCAACCCCCATTTAATATTAAAACTACTAAACAATTTTTATTTTACCAGATAAACCCCAAATGAGCTGTACCATTCTTTTTAAGAAGCGACCTGACCACAAATGATAACTCAATGAAGTGGCTTATCAAATGGAAATTTATAGCAGCCAAATACTCTAAACGCGTGATGTTGATTCTAAATATGGAAGGAAAAACCGGAGGACCCGTAGAAGAATCCTCACGACCACAGGGAGAGAGACACGCAAACTCCAAAATATCCAGCAGGCGTCCGGGTCGGGATGGAACCCACGATGCCCTGCATACCAGGCGAGGGAGTTAACATCTCGCCACTGCGGCGCCCCAACCCCCACCGCTGGCGCGCACAATGCCGAGCGCAGGCTTCCACATTCTGTTCCTGCCGTTCGCCGACGACGTGCGCAATGTGCCGAAGCTGGAGGGCGTTGCCTGGGCCAATCGCGAGCAGGTGGACAAGGCCAAGGCCATCGTGGAGAGGCTCAAGTTCACGTACCGGTGAGGCAGGGGGGGGGGCGGGGGGTGAGTCGAATCCATACCCGGCTGCTCTCGGAGGGTTTATTTGTGTCTTTGCGACACCGCACAAGACGGTGTGGATTTTGATAGCGTCTTAAATGCAAGTGCATCTCAAAGATGCTGCACGGAAAACGGTAGCGCATTTTTTTTTATTTTGTAGAAAGAGGAAGAGGCAGTCCGTCATAAGCAGAGGAAAAAAGGAAGGTCTTGGGCCCTGGGCCTGAATGGGCAGAGGGTCTAAAGGTGACATTTGCATCACCTTTGGTCTGGAAGTGTTGTGAGCGTAGCAATTTAATTAGAATTTATGAACTAGTAAAATAGCCCGTGCATCTGATTCAGCGTGTAAAAGGTAAAGAGGAATTATTCATGGGCCATATAATAAGCGATCGATCTATATGTTTCTTTGTGTGTTGAATGTGTAGACTACTCCACCAAATTCTACGAATGCGATAAGTTAAAACGGTTAAAACGTGCATCATAGCTAACTCTTACATCCATATTCTGTACTCGGTTCCTCCAGAATCGGTATGTAGTGTTTCCTTGGCCGTTTGTCACATACCTGGTGTCCCCTCTCCTCCGAGAGGCGCTGCCCCATCTATATTTGTGTCTGTGTTTCCCTCACGGCGGCAGGAGCGAGAGCTTTGAGAACCCCTCGGTGCAGCAGCACTACCGCAACTTGGAGGCGATGGCGCTCGACCTGGAGATGCCAGAGCCCATAGTCGACTACACACGTGCGGGCACCCACTCATTAGATTTCCTTGCTCCACCACTCACCCACTTACCTTCTCACTCGCTTACCCTCTCACTCGCTTGCAAGCTCACCCACTTGCGTGGTCACCCGCTTACCGCCTCACTCTTTCACTCGATCGTCCACCCACCCGCTCACTCTCCCACTTACCCGCCCACTCATTTGCTTACCTATTCGCTTGCTCAACCAATCATCTGCCTAGCTGATCACCCGTCAACTTGCTCACACACTCAGCCACTCACCCTTTTACTCATTTGCCCGCTCAACCATTCACCGGATATCTTGTTTATCCATCACCCATTCACCAGCTTTCCCACTAAACCAACCGTCTGCGTGTGTGCTTTTGTGCGCGGCTGTGTATCTGTGCGTTCTGCCCCATGTCTTGTCTGTGTGTTTGTGCGTGCATCTGTGTGTGAGTGCACCTGCTTGTGCGTGCGCATCTGTGCACGCATCCATGCGAGCGCGTGCACCTGTGCCTGCATATTTATGCATCTGACCATTGTTTTTGCATTCCTCGTGTTTGTATGTGGTCCTGTGTGTGCATGTGCCTGTGTTTGTGCCACAGGGCCCCCCGTGGAGCGAATCGAGGAGCGAGCCGGCACCCTCATCAGCGAGTTCAAGGAGCTCGTGTTTCCCCCGGACTACGAAGCGGGGCAGCCCAGCGGCGTCAAGCGCAAATCGGGTGAGGCCGGCCGGCCGACCGCCCCCCTCCCACCTCTCCCCTCCCCTGCCCCCCTGCTGCCTTCCAGCACCCCGTTTAGCCTGGTACTGGGTTTCTAGTCAGGAATCCTTCATCACTTGGGATAAATGCGCAGAGAGCGCCGGACGAAAGAAATCCCAGTGTAAACAATATCCGAGTTGCAAAGGCTTCGTGGCATCGAGCCACGTTTCCTGTGCACGCGACGCAGCCTGGTCCAACACGTATGCGGCCTACGAGAGCTGCCTGCGGCCGGATGAGTGAAAAACTCGATCGATTGAGCGAGGTTTATCGTGGAGCGACAGTCTCATGGAGGCGATGGGACAGGGAGGAAAGGACCCGGAGAGGGACAGAGGCATAGAGAATGGCAAGACAGAAAACATGGAGATGAGACGTTGTCTGTCAAGCGATTTGGTTTGAAGCCTAGATATGGAGAGTAATGACGACAGTGATGATGATTTTCATCCACGTGTTGCCGATTTGACCGAGGGCACCAGCTCCTCGGCAAGAGGCAGCCTGCTGCTAGCCCATATCGGTGATGCAGGCGTCAGGTGACATCACTTAAGCCTGTGATGAGTCGCCCCACCCCCTCAAATGTTGAGTCGCAATTCAAGAATTGATTCTCATGTGTTTTGTCTTATTTGTTCAGTCTTCTTCACCCCATTAGCCCAAATGCACCATTAGCATGTAATCTGGGATAAATCCATAAAAATTTCTCACGTACGCAATTCGACGCCCGCGTCGCGAGCGGACGGATCGATTTGAACCGATGGCTTCGTGCCTACTCGCCAACCACCCACCCCTCCCGTGCCAAGTGACCTCTGCTAATTTAAATTTGTATTAAATTGGCACCAGCGGTGAGAAAAACGGAGAAGCCCAAGGTGGAGCTGGTGCTGAGCAACGAGGACGTGCGGGCGATGGTGCTGGATGGCTCGGTGGTGCGCCACACCGTGGCCACCCTGCGGGACATCTGCAAGCGCTTCCAGCTGCGCCACCCGGGCAGCAAGAAGCAGGACCTCATTGACTCCATCACCAACTACTTCAGCAAGACCGAGCCGATCTAAGCTCACGGCGACGTGGGGTTGTCCCCTGTCTCTAAAGCAGAGGCCATCGCGGAACGGTGACAAGGCGAGGTGGGCATCGTGTAACCTGTGCACGTGGCGCTTGGCGTTAGGGATTCGGAGTTAAGGGGTCGTGTTGGGGGTTAGGGATTCGTGTCGCTGGTTGGACGTCGGAGTTAAGGGGTCGTGTTGGGGGTTAGGGATTCGTGTCGCTCGTTGGAGGTCGGAGTTAAGGGGTCGTGTTGGGGGTTAGAGATTCGTGTCGCTGGTTGGAGGTCGGAGTTAAGGGGTCGTGTTGGGGGTTAGGGATTCGGAGTTAAGGGATAGTGTTGGGGTTTAGAGATTCGTGTCGCTGGTTGGAGGTCGGAGTTAAGGGGTCGTGTTGGGGGTTAGGGATTCGGAGTTAAGGGGTCGTGTTGGGGGTTAGGGATTCGTGTCGCTCGTTGGAGATCGGAGTTAAGGGATAGTGTTGGGGGTTAGGGATTCGGAGTTGAGGGGTCATGTTGGGGGTTAGGGATTCGGAGTTAAGGGGTCGTGTTGGGGGTTAGGGATTCATGTCGCTCGTTGGAGATCGAAGTTAAGGGGTAGTGTTGGGGGTTAGAGATTCGTGTCGCTGGTTGGAGGTCGGAGTTAAGGGGTAGTGTTGGGGGTTAGGGATTCGTGTTGATGATTGAAAACCGGAGTTAAGGGGTAGCGTTGGGGGTTAGGGATTCGTGTCGGTGGTCGGAGTTGACTGGATAGGTTTCTCGGATTATGGTTAACTCGTGTGTAGTTTGTGTTAGTTTTTTTGTCTTTGTTAAACACCTGGGTAAACAAACGTGTTGTTTAAATCTCCAGTGTTTGCCAAATTAGTGCACGGACGATAAACATTTCTACAAACATTCATTTTTCACTGAATGTGGTTTAGCCTTTTTTCCATCCAGTTACTCGGTGGGAACTCTTGTTACCCCCTGGTTGGGGTTCTGTGCAGCATGTCCAGTCCCTGCGTCCATCATTTCATTTTTGCATTTCTACTTAAAAAATACATGTTCAGCCTCATTCCCGTGTTGTGATGGTGAAACGACTGCAGGCGTTTTGCACGTCGCGATCGTGCGTCCGTTCGTTTGGCGGCCCGCAACAATCACACCAGACTCAGGACATTTGCGTTGCGTCCAAACGTTTTATTCCCCGGAGCCATTGTGACCCGTCACCTCCATTAAAGTGCTTTCCGGAGAGACACGTGTCTCATTCCCTGTCCGTTTGGCTTCACTCGCGCACGAGTAAGTGGCAAAAAAAATAACGGCGCTGCACTGTTAGCGCCAAGACCCAAGCAGACGACGCTCGTTGCGTGGTGTAGCCTCTGGCAGTAGCTGCGTCACAGCCGAAGACGCAAAAGCTGTGCGCCGGCCAACCCAGTGGAGCTCCTTTGAGGATTCCTGACATCGCGAATGTTTTAAGTGCTCCTCTCGACTTGGCTCTGCCGTTATTGTGCAAAATCAAGCGGCGAATTTTCCCCGACATCTCCCACGAGCCAAGCTGTAGCAAAGCGAGGAGACGATGGTGTCGGAACGCGCCAGCGGCCTCACTCGTTCTCCACGCGCAGCAGAGCTCCTGTCGTCGTCACGATCCTGCATGAGCCACAGGAACCAGTAGCAAATTCCCTCTCTTAAATCGTGTTTCATACGCCCTCGTGTCTTTAATTGTACGGTAAAGTCTGCAGGTAGCATCACCTGTGTGGCTGCTGTAGCCAAAGGGCAGTGTATTTGTGCACGTGGAGGATGGATGGGGTTAGGGTTTAGCGTTCGTGGTTGGGTTAGGGGTCGCAGGGTTAAGGGTTAGAGAAAAAACAATACTACCAGTGTTTGACAGGTTGAACCAGTGCATTTGGCAATATTGGAGTGCAGTGGTCACTCCCCGGGACCAAGGGGTAGCAGTCCATGGGGCAGGAAATCACCGTCAAGGGTGGTGCTCACTGACCGCTTGACGGCCTGCGCACCCACGGCGTCGTGCACGAGGTAGGGGAGGCCGAGCTGCCCGGCCGTGCGCATGGTGCGCGCCTCCAGCTCCGCTTGCAGCAGCTCACCGCACCGTGACTTGCGGATTGCAGCCAGCACCGCCTTGCGCCCTGCCCACCGCCCACACCGCACAGAGTGACACGGGGCTGTGGCTGCTGTAGCTTCCTGTGGCTATATGTATGTTGAACTTATGTCGCACTGTACGTAGCCAACCGTGCTAATCGGAGGCGCGGTGAAGGACAACAAACTAAACACAAAAAGCAGTGTGGCTGATGCAGCTGCTGTGGCCAATGCAGCTGCTGTGGCTGATGTAACCGTTGTCGCCACTGTGGCTGGTAAAGCTGATACAGCCGATACAGCTGTTGTGGCTGATGTAGCTGGCCTAGCTGCTGTGCTTGACTTCGCTGTAGCGGGCCGTGTCGCTGCTCGCATAGCCAGTGCTGACCTCTGGTGAGATGTTTGATGAACTTGCCGATGCCAGGGATGGAAAGCCACCAGCTGCCCACATCTCGCACCGTGAGCAGCCCGGCATTCACGAGCCGCCTGCAGAGGAGAAAGGGACGGCACGGTGAAATACTGAGTGGGGGGGGGGGGGGGTAATGGGAATCCTGGCATCCCACCACCCCCCTTCGTGTTCGTGAGCAGCGGACCGTCTGCACTTTGGGTTCATTTAATCGGCCGATGACAACCTGTGGAATTTTTTGTCCAGTCTCAATTTTGACTTATTTAGTCATTCTCTTAGTCCAATTGACTTAAGTAATTAGCTGTTATTTTATGTTGAAGGGGCAGTTACCCTCCACACCCTCCCCCCCCCCCAATAAATGGGACAGCCAATTGGTGAACTCCGTTAACCTTATTGATATACATACATAGCCAATTACCATTTTTGGGCATCCTCGGCATACTAATGTCTAATAAGTTTACTAAATTATTTTAGTCTGCGTCTTTCATTCAGACAAGTTCATATCGTCTAATAATCACGCTTTGTTGGATAGTCCTGTCATCATGCTTCATGATATTCGTCCGCTCGTAGTCACCGTTGACCAAAATAAAATAAAAACCTTTAGCCAACGAAAACTCTCGTCACTTAATTCCGCAACGGACAAAACGACCACTCACGTGATGTCGGCATCGCGGAAGGAGAGGTCGTGAAGCAGGCGAGCGCGGGAGACGGCGGGGCCCTGCGCGGCGCCCACCACCTCGTCCAGGAAGCGCACCGCCACCGCCTCCCACGGGCGTCCTCGCACCGTCGCTCGCACGCGTTCCTCGAAGTCGGCGCGGAAAACGACGGCCGACGTCTGCTCGCCCACGCCCAGCGCAAACACGCAAACCTTCCCGTGCTCGCGCAGCTCGTTCTGTAAGGGAGGGAGTGGAGTGGCGTGAGGAAGAGATTGGGGGAGATGAAGGATGAGGGGGAGAGGGGTGGGAGGGATGGATACGTGTGGGTTCTGTTTTATCAAGTGAATGTCGGTCTGGCCGAGGGACTCGGTGAGCCCACAATGGTCGTGTCTGAGTGCTTGTGAAATGTGCATTTAGAGTCTGAGCCCCCGTCAATCGCTAAACCAGGTTCGTGGGTGGTGTGCATTTCACAGGACAACCTCTTAGCCGAACAAAAAAAACGGTGTACCTTTTGAAAACGGTGCACATGGTGTATTTTTGTGTCGCTAAACAACCTCCTTTCCATATCAGGGGGTGCATTCCCCACGTTGGGTACCATTCACCAACCCTACACTGACGGGCATGGCGAAGCACAGTCACACATTCTCCCATAGTGGAAGTCTGTCTCACCAGCTGGCGGTCGGCGGCCGTGCGGTCGCTCAGCACACTGTAGAGCTGGTGCTGGAGCACGATGGGTGGCAGCCGGTCCTCAAACAGCTTGCGCGGGAACAGATCGGCCAGGTAGCGCAGCGCAGCCTCGGTGTCGTTTGGCACCTCTGTCGGTGGCACCACAGCGAGGCCACCACAGTTGGGCGGTTATGAAAATGTATTGGCTTTCTTGTTATTTTCTCCCGAATGAGTGCACGTGATTTTGAATTATGTTACTTAATTGTCCGTGGAACAAGTATTAACGATTTACCTAAATCATATCCACGTCTCCTTTTGACCCACGGAATGCACGAGGCGGGAAAGAATTTTAACTCGTGATCCCAAACCGTGACACTTCATCAGAATCGAGCAGAGTGAATTGCTAAATGCGTAGCGAATGAGCCAGCCAGCATATCGAACGCATGGCTATTAGCGATGGTCGCTGAGCTACGACGCATCCGCAAGACGAACTGACCACCAAAAGAGGTCTCGAGTGAATCAATCCACTGACAATCGCGCGCTGCCTCTTGTATCAGCAACAGCTGTCCATGTCAGTTGGAAGACGCCTCCGACTAAAAGCGGCGGCGCCAAATATGGAACCAGGAAAGTGGAGACAGTCCCCGTCGACCCGGTGCAGCTTATTTCACTCATTGATACAGTAACCACACGAGGTGGTAAAACTTCGTGGTGTTTTGCTGAATAAAAATATATATTGTGGCAATTGACTCGCGTGAATAATTACCCCATAATTATTATTGACCAGAAAAAAGCAACTGGGGTGGCAAGCAGTGGCAGAATGTTTTGCATACTGCGCAAAGAACCTGCCGATTTGAGTTTTAATCCCAAAGATGACGAATACCAGCAGTGATACCTGGATCAGTCCTGGACCCACTTTTCACCAGCCTGCACTGTTCAGCATTGTATTTGTCATCGTGCGAAGTTAAAAGGTAAATTTTACTTGCAGCCCTTTGACAGTTCACTGTTGAATCGAGGTCTTCCCATGCTGTGTCAGTCAATGGAGTTGTTTTTGACCATACTTCACCAGGCTGGTCAGTGCAAGTCGGAAACTGGTCCTCGCCTCCCCATACGGAACTCCACTATGACGAGCGTGGTAAAATATTGTCAAACATTTCCCCAGGGGTACGAATAGGGTTCGGTCGTTTGGAATGTAAATAGGACGTTTCTGTTTTCTTTCATATCGTGGGAAATTTATCGGTAACGTTTACTTGATCACCTCGAGGTCGGTGAGCCAGTGATAGGCTGGGGTTAGAGAATGTGGTTAGGGGTAGGAATCTATTGCAGCGCTATTTCTCTCTTCTCCCCCCTCCGGCACCTCCGATTAGCATGGTTGGCTACGTACGGTGAGCGAAAGCAGTTTCAACATACTGTAGACACAAGTACGTACCATCGATGGGAAGGTCCGCGCCGTCGGCTCCCCACAGCTCGGCGTCCCCGCGACTCTCGACCGCCGGGCGCGACCTCTTAGCGCGGAAGGCGTCCGGCAGCGTGGTCCGCTTGCGGCTCATGGGATCGCTGCCTGCCTCCAACCGCAAACACGCACGTTCGTGACAGCGGTCACACCAACAACAACTCAGCCTCGTGGCGAACGCTGCACTTACGGCAGAGTCACCGTTGTTCCAAGACAAACGTGAGGGTCATCACTCTTTACTGTGACGTCACCACCAACCAACCAACAACCGCCATTCGCCACTAAGTGGCGGTGACGTCACCACGACGCTTGTGCCAGGCTATGCGCACCCTGAGGCCACATGAAGTGTTGAACGCCCGCTGGCAGGAGGTCACGGGGCAGACCCAGGTGCCACGGGTCGACTGACTGAGATGACTGGCTGATGCACCACCTGTGCCCCCTACTGTGCCAACCTGCTGTGCTTTAGCCACCCGGCGCTCCGCTCGTTGTTGTGAGCGTCGCTCCTCCGCCCTCCGTTGTTGTTGGAGGGCGACTACCTCCAACTGCCCAGTAGCATCCTTCACGAGCCTCCTCTACAGAGGCCGATCTTGACGCCGCTGGTACCAGTCATCGGCAAGTCCACTCAGCTCCACGTCCTCCTGTACCACATCACTCCATCTCTTCTCTAGCCCGTGCCGCGCCCGCTTAGCCCCCTCAATCGCCTTTGGTTCTACGCAATCTTGAAGCCGTGGCACGGACGAACAAGCGATTGTCATGCACCCCTGTTACAGTCTCTACATCGTCATCATCGCCACCCTAGATTTCACCCTTTGTAGTCGACCTCTGGGGTGCGACTTCAGTCTTCGGTAGCCCGCCCTCCATCCTCCCCCCGCTAATATCGTCCCATCATCCATCGCTGAACTGCATCGTCCGAATAGGATCTAAACAATGCTTTTAATTCCACACTTCAACAATGCTTACCGCCACCCTGCTGCAGGACGGTACTAAATGATGCGTCCAAACGAATCCCAGCATACTTCGAAAAATAAAGAGGCGATATTTTTATCCCGTATTTTGAAGCAAATGGTTTGGGGGGGGGGGCGTGCCAATATTATGCAAATCTTTATTGACGCCGGCAACAAGTATGGGGTGCGTCTTACTTTTCGAACGGATCTTATAAACCCGAAGATACCATAAATCAGCTCCGGTCCCGAATCCCCGGCGCGCTTCAGGATTTTGTGACACGCGCAGCGATGAACGCAGCGAAGTTGAACCGAATGAGGGCAGCAACGCGTTCCCGGGCACGCATTTAAGTTAATAACGTCGATCAAGATCATTAAATCGGCCGGTGGGTGCCGTCAGGCGGCTTACGTTGACCGTCAAACTGAAGCCAGAACGCAACATTGGCCTGGGCCACTCGCGTGTACCACTCAGGGCCTCCTCCCCGCACTGCACAGGCGCCGCGAGCTCACCGCGGTGGCTTTGGTCAGTGGCTCTGCTGCGCGTGACCGGAGTTTGTCGACGAGTTTGGGCTTAATGAGAGGGAGGGAGACGAGCGAGGAGGAGGAGGAAAGGAAGCGAGGAGGAGGCGAGGAGGAGGAGGCGAGGAGGAGGAGGCGGAGGAGGAGGCGAGGAGGAGGAGGAGGAGGCGAGGAGGAGGAGGAGGAGGCGAGGAGGAGGAGGAGGCGAGGAGGAGGAGGAGGCGAGGAGGAGGAGGAGGAGGCGAGGAGGAGGAGGAGGAGGCGAGGAGGAGGAGGCGAGCGCCCGGCGACCGAGGCGAGACGCCGTCTCGTCCGCCGCTCGGCCACGCGTCAACCACTTCCGCCTCTCGCGCCACTTCCTGCCACGTGACGCAAGGTAACCAACGGCGACGAGGGAAAACATTTTTTTTTATTTTCAAAGGTAAATATTTTTTTTACTTAAAAGTCAATTTCTTGAGTGGTTGTGTGAATTTGTTCAATTTATTTTCACCAAGTGGTAGTAAAATAAATAAATATGTTGTCGATTCCCCCACCCCCCTGTCAATGCAGTAGAGTAGGGGGCAAATCAATGTCGCCGCTGCGTCGCCGCATCAGAGCAGTGACAGATTTGCACGTGGCAGAAGAAGAAGAAGACGACAAGGTGGTGGTGATGATGATGACGATGGTGATGTGCAGGCAGCGATTAGGAGACTGGCACTATTTGGACACGTGTCTAGGGATGGACAACAGCAATAGGATCATTTTAAAGTTGTTGTTCGGAAAGATGGAAGTAACGAGGAAAGAGGGGAAGACACCTCTCGAGAGAACGGCTTCACGACGACTTCATTAAGAGATTGGTGCAGCGAAATTGAGTTTTCAGGTCCACACGGCGTACAGCCGTTTCAATACGGGCACACAAAAAAAATGTCTATTTGTGTTTCTCCCTTGTGATGGGACTTTGTAGGATGAACGTTGAGATTTATAAGGGGCACTGGGTGACCAATAAGGTCTGAATTGGTCTGTAATAAGGTAGGGCACTGGTAAGGGGGTTGACAGGTATGAAAATGTGGTGTCAGAGAAGATGTGGGCACTTCTTGAGCATATTGGCACTGCAAGACAGAGAGGAAAGTGGAAACAACAAATGACGAAATGTAAAGTGGACACATCTACGGGATATCCGCCCGTGGATCGTGATGATGATGTATAATCACAATTCAGTAACTTGCGGTGTAATTTGGCAAATGCGAACCCCTGTATACGGCACACATTTGTTTATACAGCACAATACTCTTGCGAATGAGGTCACGTGATCTTGAACGTCCCACTGTGACGCAGCCGGCACGTGGCATTTATTTTACGGTCAATTCACCCGCAGTAATAACTGGGGCGGCCACTGGAATCGAACCGGGAACCTCTCTGCCTCTCTCTCTGATTGGCTGAGATCCGTGGTGTTATAATTTATTTATGTAGTTTATTGTTAAAAATTCGGTCACAGTCCCTATGATCACTGTTACTTTGCTTTTATGGATTTTATTTTGGTGATTTCGAAAACGTTTTTTTGCCCATGTTTTTGTTTATTGTAGTACGGAGTTAGACTGATGGCCTTAATCTTAGTTGTCTTGTGGTTGTTGTTATTTGACTTGCATCCCACTGGGATTTTTGCACACAGCGTTGGTGTACGGTGCTATTTCAGGAATATTTTGATTGTTTTTTTCCTGGATTTTCTGTTTGCACAGTCACATAATCACTTTAAGATGTTTTCTTGTTCATGTTTTTTGTTTGTTGAGGTTGCACCCGATTCAAGAGCCGAATGGCTCACAGGGCTATACCAAAATAAATAAACTATGAAATAAACTAAACTATGCTGCTGCGGCGGCGGCGCGCGCCGATTGGCTCAGCGCGAGCCGATTGGCTCAGCGCGCGCCGATTGGCTCAGCGCGAGCCGATTGGCTCAGCGCGCGCCGATTGGCTCAGGGCGAGCCGATTGGCTCAGCGCGCGCCGATTGGCTCAGCGCGAGCCGATTGGTTGAGCCCGCGCTTTAAAAGGCGGCGTGCGCTCGCTTCCCAGCGTCTCCACCGCTCGCTGGCATCGTTGTGTCACGTCCCTCGGTTTCCCGCGCTTTTCTCTCGTCTCCTAGTGCTCTGAGCCGTAGCTGCCGCCGCGAGAACCCTGAGGTAAAACAAACAAAAAAAACTGCCGCTTTTATTTTCAAAGGAAAAGAAATACGTGAACCGTTTAAGAATGTGATTACTCCGAACGCAACGGGGCCAATTTTTATCGTACGACAAATGTATTAAGTTTTAAGACATTAAATGTCGGTTCAAAAACGCCTGGGGGTCAAACGTGCTCGTGCGTACAAGGCGTATTTTATGTATTGGGCGCCGATTTTATCTTTGTAACAGTCGCTACGCCAAGCGCTTTAATATTAACAGTAAGTGCGTCCGCTTAGCAAATCTTCATTTAAAAACATTGGGCGCTCGCAACCACCGAACAGCTATCCGCGGTTCTTGGGTTTCAATGCCCGCTCTTCGCGTTGAGTTTCTTCTGAGCAATAGCGGGCCCCAAAGCGCCGAGCGGCCGGAGACGAAGTTGTTACTTCTCTTTGGTGTTGTTTTAAATTAGCGTTAATTCAGAATCGGAATCTTGATTTAAACTTGAGAAATCCGATTGAGCTAATGAAGCCGCTTTGTGCGCAAATGTCCGGCAGTGTGCGGGTAAGAAAGTTACTACGGTACAATAAACTATACAAAAAACAACCCCCCCCCCCCCGATAAGAGTGCAAAAAGGATAGGAAAGCTAAGCAAATCACTAAAAATACATAAAATAAAGTAACATCAGTTCAAACTGCGTCATTGCATCAATTCCCCAAGCTCGTGCCAGGCAGCAAAACAACAGCGAAATTCCTATCATTATTTTTGAGCAAAGAGTTATAATGATATGAGCTTCGGTGGCGAGACGTTTGCGAGGGAATTACTAAAGTGGAGCATTCGGCGAGTGAATGAGCAGAAAGAGAAGCTAGGATCGAGACCGTCCCTTTTGGGGGAGTTTGTCGAGAGATTTGCCCTCGCTTTATGCGGTTGATGCATTGTTCCAAGTACGCACACGAACCGAATGGGCATGAAACGAGGGTGAATCCTTTAATGTGCCCGGGAATAAATCGTATTTTACGACGATTTAACATGAATTGGTCTTAAATTCCGGTACCGTACCGTGTACTGGGTATCCACAGAACTGTGGCAGTCAACCCGGTGACCGCAATCACCTGGTGTCGGTCACACCTTATGCCGACGATGTTTGTCCATGAAGAAAATACTGCTTTAGATCCCCAGGAGGTTCATAATAGGCCGATGTATATGTGTTGGTATATGTTATTATTATTCTTGTTGTTGGCAAAAGTATTTCTTTGTCACTGTTATTACTTGGTTCAAGACTGCATGATAATATGAATCTTGTAATCTGCAGCAGAGACCACGCGGTTTCTTACTCTGCGTCTGCAGGGACAGGAGTAGCCAAAGCACCCTCTTATTTATAGAACTGTTACACTTCTCTTAAAAACCATATGCCTTGCTATTGCCAGTCTTGGTCACGGGGTCTTTCACGTGAACTCCACAGCAGAGACAGCACGCTGTCTGGTCCAGAAATAACGGAGCTTTGATGGAAAGCGAATCGCTAACCCAGTAGACCACTAACCCCAAATGAATAAACAGCACTTGGCTTAGTAATCACCATCGCCGAGGCTCATCCGCTTCAGAATGACGGCTACTCTGCACGATCCATCTCATTTATACACACGAGCTGATCTCGTCGCTGATGTCTCCTCTCGGATGTATTTTCTCCTTTGGCTGCCAATGTTATCCGTTTGGCAATAGTACGGTGATTTTTATATAGACACATCGGAATAATCACTGCTGTTGTCTGCATATTTAAAAAAAAAGCTTCACTGGCCCCAGGCTGAAGTGAAAATGGGTCTCTAGGCATGGCATAGCCATTTCTTGAATTGTAGTCACATGAGCTTTCATGCCCATACAGCAGATTTTAACCGTGCAGCCTCAGCCTACCCCGATTATTAGTTAGTTTTCTTTATTTCAGCCTTATGTGTTTTAATTCAGTTAGCCGATCCGTCTGTGTATTCTTAGACTCAAAAGATTTAACAAAGTAATAATGCACGAACACGTAAAATCGGTTGTTAATGGTTAACTAAATAACCTCATCGGTCTGTCATGTTGACAATCGGAACTAGTACAGATTCGGTCAAATTAAATTTGAAATTGTACCAATTGCATATGGTGCTTCATTCTGGTTTCTTAACATTTTAGGGTTAGATTTTAGTTTTTCTTGCACAAGTGGAAAGTTCATGATAAAATACATTTCTCCTAATAGATATATTTTTTTACTCAACACATTTGTCAATAACACTGGCCTTAAAATGAAATATATGGCCCTTAGAATGTTCCTATAAGAAGGGTCATTGTCCAAATGTCACCTAATATAATGTGTATGTTTTCCCTTTAAAGCAGTGTTACCGATGAATGCATTTCAAAGATTTTTGTTAATTGTGTTTGTGCACCATTGCCAAAGCAGCATCACCAAATCATCTGATAAGATCTAGACTTTATATTTCCTATGCTGCTCATAAAACATTTAAACAGCAAGTTTCTGGGTTCACAGGGCCAAAGTTAGGGTATAGTGTCCATGCTGCCAATAATTGACTAAACAGCTTTCGCTCTGCACCGTTTCCTCTGTGTACTGGTTGCTTGCCGTGTGTGTCTGCTGTCTTGTATGTTGTGTGTGTATAGTTATGTTTCTTCTGTGTACTGTGCGTCTGCTGTGTGTGTTTGAGTGTATGCTGTACGCTTGCGAAACGTGGACCCCCCTAATCGAACATCTTCGCCGGTTAGAAACATTTAGGCTGGCCTGCCTACGATCCATCCTGGGTTTAACCAGACTGGATTGTGTCAGGAGCTCACAAATCCTTGAAAGATCTGGGCAAGGTCCCATCAGTGAGCTCCTCCGGCGGGCAAGGCTGCGATGGCTGGGTCATGTAGCCCGCATGCCCAGCCACCGCATGCCGAAACAGCTTCTTTTCGGCCGGATCGAGGGGGCTAAACGGGCGTGGCACGGGCTAGAGAAGAGATGGAGTGATGTGGTACAAGAGGACGTGGAGCTGAGTGGACTTGCCGATGACTGGTACCAGCGGTGTCAAGATCGGCCTCTGTGGAGGAGGCTCGTGAAGGACGCTACTGGGCAGTTGGAGGTAGTCGCCCTCCAACAACAACGGAGGGCGGAGGAGCGACACTCGCAACAACGAGCGGAGCGCCGGGTGGCTAAAGCACAGCAGGTTGGCACAGTAGGGGGCACAGGTGGTGCATCAGCCAGTCATCTCAGTCAGTCGACCCGTGGCACCTGGGTCTGCCCCGTGACCTGCCAGCGGGCGTTCGACACTTCACGTGGCCTCAGGGTGCACATAGCCTGGCACAAGCGTCGTGGTGACGTCACCACCACTTAGTGGTGAATGGCGGTTGTTGCTGTATGGCTGATTCATGATTACTCTGTGATCTCTGCAATGTGTGTTCTGTGTGCCTGGGTCATTGTTTTTTCACAGAGACTGCCTTTGGTTCTTTCTGGTTGAGTCGCCCAAGTTATTAATGGAGTCACACTCTGTGTCCGAGAATGGGGTTGTGGCCATCGGCGTGAAGAATGGTGATGCCGAGCTCTGGGCCTCTCATAACTCCATGATGCTGGAGCCCCTGAGCAGCAATGACACCGAGGCGGGTCACCCACAATTCACCACACTCGCCCACAGTCAATCGTGCTCTTACACTTGCTCAGAGTTGATGAGTCACCCTCAGTTGTCCACTCTTGCCTACTGGCAAGTACACTCACTGTTAACCACACTAATTCACAGACAACCAAGTAGATTGCATATTTGCCCATACTGCCAAAGAATCCCCAGACGCTCGCACTCATCCACGGTCATCTACATTCACCCATTCACTGACTGGATAACGATTTCACCATTACCACACTGAGCCAGCAAATCACATTCACCCAGTTAGTCTGCCAAACACCTCTGCAGTTGCCCACGTTCTTCTGAAGTTGATCACATTCAATCACTTTGGACTACACCCAACTGTGCATTTAGTCACCCTCACACTGACCCATGCATTTGCTCACAGTTTGCCCACTTTCACCCATACAGTGGTCTCACTAACTTGTTTGCACTTTTGCCGTCTTGTACCCCAAGCCATGTCAGTTACTTAATGAGAGCATTTACTTTGCCTATCTGCATATATGTTTTTAGTTTGCTGTTATATGTTGGCAGCATTTACTTTAGGATAGTGGGAGGTGGGTATCTGACCTGATTAAACTGACCAAAGTCTGCTGATCCACAGTGGAACAGGCATAAACACGTGGTCGTATTGGTCTAGCTTACCTTGGAGGAGGAGGGGGGTTGCATGTGGACAGGAGTTAAAGGTTGCAATGTGCTGAGGGTGGGGACCTGTGCCTGCACTGCCATTGGCTTTTGGCTCCAGTCATCCCATTTATCGGTCACTTTTGTTGGACACCCGCCAGTCAGGTCCACTCCTGTGAGGCATATTTGGCTTTGCACATTAATGTGCAAATATTATGTTCACAAAAACATGGTCAATGAGATTATGAACTGCTGTGTAAGTTGAAATTTCATCCCACTGTCTTTACACTCTGCTATGAGAGGCGTTTGTGGCCACTTGTTGAATGGAAGCCCCTGGGTAAATTTATATGAATGGCAGTTGTGTAAAGTATAGTGTAAAAGATGTGTGTATGGTATATATGGTATATTTAGATGTGTCTGTATATATTATTTGTGGGAAGTAGTAGCGTTGTGGTTAGCACAATCTGCTCTGTACCCGGTGTTCCAGGTTTGATACCCGGCCACACCTCAGTGGTGATGATCCAAACTTGTCCTAGGCTTCCGCTTGGTCGGCTCAGCCTTAAATGAGTACCTGTTGCGGTGTATAAATGTTAGCGGTGGAGAAACTAAGGCAGCCGAGCGTCGTGCAAACCACACCCCCACTCCCTTGTGCGCCGTGCTAACCTTCATAGGTGAAAACTAACAGCATTAACCCCAACAGTTTCTACAGCTGTAGGGGGGGATCTTGTGTGTGTGTATACAGTACAGTGTATTTAGCGTATATGTATATGCATGTATATATATGTGGCAGTCATGCCCGTTAGTCCGTTGAAGACCTGAAAAACGTGCATTAGTAGCGCTGTGGAGTAGTTTCTGATGAAAGCAATAGTATAAATGCTATCTAGTATTATTATTATCTGACCATGTGTCCGCTGCTTCCCCTGGTCCTCGGATTGTGCAGGTGTTTGACATCATCGTGCAGGAGAAGCGACGCCAGCGGCGCGGCCTGGAGCTCATCGCCTCGGAGAACTTTGCGAGTTGTGCCGTACTGGAGGCGCTGGGTTCCTGCATGAACAACAAGTACTCGGAGGGCTACCCGGGCTTGAGGTGTGTGCACAGCGCTGTACACACACCAGCACTCTTTTTTTTATAAAAAAATTGTGATACTGTATTTGCAGTACAATTATCGAAAGCTCAACACATCCGTCAATATCACTGCCTTAATGGGAACCAAAAGAACATAACGGTCCACATTCTAATCTGGTGAACTATGACCTGTGAAGGGAGGCCATTGTTTGTTCACAACATGGGTTCTTAATTTTAAGGAGCGTTTTGTAACGAGGAGATGGCACCCAACAAAGGTTTTTACACAGAATTGTTCACGAGCCTAATTGCTGTACTGCTATCGCCCTACCACCCCGTGTTGTGTGGTAAGTGATTGATACATTTTTTTTTACTGTTTCTTGACCGCAGGTATTACGGCGGCAACGAATATGTGGACATGCTGGAGCGGCTGTGTCAGAAGCGAGCGCTTCAGCTGTATGGCCTCGACCCCCAGGCCTGGGGCATCAATGTGCAACCCTACTCAGGTGGGCACCGCCACGCTCGTACGCACCGCTCGAGCACTATCGCTTGCAGCGCCTCTTGTGCCCGCACTGCGCTCACGAGCACTTCACATGGACATAATGGTTAAATAATTATAATACAAATTTTATGCACACGAGAAAGGCCTCACTGATGATCCCTGAGCCCAGACCAGATATTTCGGTCGTCATCAGTCGTCAGTACGAGCTGAGGTGGTATAACTATTTTTGTTACAATTGTCTGACTGTGGCCAATAAAGATGAGTTGTGTGATAATTATTTTAAATAAGTGGGTTAGGAAATGTTTACTTATTATTAGCCATATTGAAAAATGATTAGCCAGATATGGAAACGAGTATCATTTAATATCTGCTCCGTTGAGTGGTACCGAATTCTGCTATGACCCATGGACTGAAGCTGGGACTGTGCTTACGCCTTGTGGGCGCAGGCTCCCCAGCAAATTTTGCGGTGTACACGGCGCTAGTGGAGCCGCACGGCCGCATCATGGGGCTGGACCTGCCGGATGGTGGTCACCTCACGCACGGCTTCATGACTGACAAGAAGAAGATCTCGGCAACTTCCATCTTCTTTGAGTCCATGCCATACAAGGTGCTGCCTCTCCTCCAACCCCAGCTAGCTTGCTTCCTTCAGTACCTTGGCAACTTGAGCCATTTGCCAAAAATTGCTTTATCACTACCATTCAGGATGGAAAATGATTTTCTTAACTTTGTTAAATCTCAAATAAAAAAAATATGTATCATAGAATGGTCACTGTGGTAGGTATTTGAGAAAAAGGTTGTTAAAGGAGGTTATCTTAGTCTGCTTGACAGAATAGCGTTGTGGATATGACAATTAAAACGAAGTGTGTCTATAAAACACAGTATACATTCGATAAGCTTTCTGCAAATGGTGTTTACGGGTAGCATTTGGCACCCCAGGTGGTTCCGACCAATCCTTTTGTCTCTCATAGATATGGATAATTCAGTTTGGCAAGTTTGGTACAAAGTAATCGCTGACAGTCCTGATGAACTAATTGCTAATGACTGTCTTCACGAGCGGTCATGATTGTGAAGATGATCATGATAACGAAGATGATTATAAGACGGATTTGCGGATATTGGCGAATGATGGAGGTGGTTGATAGCGCCGTTGGTGGTGATGACGATGATAGATGATGATTTGGCGAGTCATGACGATGGTTGGATGATGATGGTGACGATGATGACCGCGTGGGCGTTAGGTGGACCCGGTCACGGGGCTCATCAACTACGATCGCCTGCAGGAGAACGCCCGTCTCTTCCATCCAAAACTCATCATAGCCGGTGAGCGCAATCCCTTCGGTTTCACGAACCCTTTGCCGTCAATGAGTGTTTGTTTAGTTTTGTTGTCCTTCTTTAACTGTAAAAATATGGTCAATCAGAGGGACCATTCCCCAAAACATGAGCTCATATTTTATTTCTACTTGTATAAGGCATTGTTAATAATAAGGTGAACCGTTTTTATTTGTAATGTAACATGCTGCTGGATGGTGAAAAAGTTGGTGCATTCAGCTCGCAATTGCAAGTGGATGAGATAAAATACCAGTCTGGGAGGTCACCTCAGTCGTTCACCTGAAGGGGTGACCACAGTTGAACAAAGACTAGATTATACTCTTTGGGTCTTTCGGTAAAGCCATGTAGATAGAAGAAAAATAATAAAAATCATCAAAAATATCACGACGTTTCGATCGTAACACAAGCAATTGTCATCAGGTGAAAAAATACAGCAGGAGAACTGCTGCAGTTCTGCTGTATTTTTGTTGCGATCGAAACGTCGTGATGTTTATTTATTATTTTTATTATTTCTATCTACGTGGCTTTACCAAAAGGCCCAACGAGTATGAATTCATGCAGTCACGAAAGCTTTAAGTCAAGAAAGACTAGATTGTAAATAAATAACTGTAGCATAGAATTGGTTATTTTGTGGATTCACTGGCCTTCTTCATTCGAGTGTGGAATTTGTACCCCCGGCTCAGGGTTGTAAACAGAAGATTGAAGCCCTATGCTCTTGATTGGTAAACCATTTTAACCTCGACAATTGAGAGTCTTGTTCAAGGTAGACCTGCGGTACTAATAAAATGCAATGCACATGTTAAAAAGGGGTCAAAATATTGAGCAAAACAAAGACTGGAATATATAAGAAACAAAAAGTAACGGTTTACAACTTGCCAAAATATATTTCGAAAAACTGAACACGTGAATGCAGGCATCAGCTGCTACTCGCGCAACTTGGACTACTCGCGCATGCGCTCAATCGCGGATGAGAACGGCGCCATCCTCATGGCGGACATGGCGCACATCAGTGGGCTGGTGGCTGCCGGCGTGGTGCCCTCGCCTTTTCCGCACTGCCACGTCGTCACCACCACCACCCACAAGACGCTGCGCGGGTGCCGCGCCGGCCTCATCTTCTACCGCAAGGGTGGGTGTCCGTGCGTTCGTTCGTGCGTCTGTGTGTAAGAAGTGCGTCGTGTGGTGGCGCTTTGTTTGTGGTGGTTTTGTTATCATCCTCATATCCATAGTAAAATTTTGATACTGCTTCTTATCGGTATGCAACGATTCGCTCCCCCCCCCCCTCACTCCCTGCCCCGTGATATTATTTATTGTTACATATAAAGGTTTGGATTCAAGTAAAACAAATATTACATTTTTACATTTGTGCTGGATGGAGGCTCGTGGCTGTTAGGAGCACATAAACCAATTGCATGCAACATACAAATTTTAAATTAATTGCATGCACAATTTATTTTTGTAAGCACAAGCATTTTCATCAATGCACTGTTAAATGCTGAGTACCTTTCCCATTATCGCCACTAATCCCCTGACAATTTACAATCTCACAGGAAGGCACAACCCTAAGAGACAGGGAGTTAGTGTGTTTTTTTAGATTAGTGCATAGGCTATATAACCAGAGCTGTCCAACACGAGTTGGTGGCTTTCTTAACAAGTTAAAAGTCTTTAAACCCCGCCCCCCCCCCGTCAAGTGTTTGGACATACAGAAGTGTTCTGGTGGCCAGACGTCTTGGGAAAAAATGGGAGTTTCCCACACTTTATTTGAACACACAACACTAGCGCATGAACCAACAACTGTAGTTACCCATTTATATTGCTGTGTGGACAGAGGGTGTGAGGCGTTAGGTTTTTATAAACTTGGCCATTGTTTCAACTGCTGCGTAAGGGCGATCAAACCGGTGTGACACTCTGGTTTGTAAAGTCTAATGTTTATGCCGGTTTTTTTTCCTGTGCAGGTGTGCGCAGTGTAGATGCCAAGACCGGCAAGGAAACCATGTACAATCTCGAGAGCCTCATCAACCAGGCGGTGTTCCCCGGACTGCAGGGCGGCCCCCACAATCACGCCATCGCTGGTCAGTACCCTGCCAGTGGCCTCTGTCTTGGAGATGTAAATTGTCAAATAGTCTGGAAATCTTGTGGTGCCGTTAGAATCTATAATGGTGTGACTCTTGTAGAAATTCCAGTAGTGTTGGATCATGCAGTATTGGCAGTGGAATTACTCTATAAACTGTGTAATGTGAATCCAGTCGAGTGAGTGAATCAATGTCATCTGCAGTGGTAGTAATCTATACCTCTGCCTATGACCAAATCACGAAAACAACCAAAAAACGAAGTCTTTCCTTAATACATCCCAGATCTCTGATTTCAGATGCTAAGCAGGTGTATGGACCTGATTCGTATGTTGAGTAACCACCAGAGTTTTCTAGGTGATGTTAGACTTGGGGGCTGCGTGGTGTGGCCCACATATAAATGGAGTTTCTTGAAGTACTCCGATTTATTCCCACGTGCCAAATGCCCATTTAATAATATTGGCCAAATATCCTATTGCAGAACCTTCCATGAGAAGAAAGCATTGACATTAATTGAAACTTAACTGGGTAAATAATTGGCATAATATATACAGTGGTGTAAATGTACAGAATTTATATTTGTATCGAAAAATAAGTTTATACTTGTGTAAAAAAAGAAGTGAAGTTTGTGTGCTCACATATACTTTTTGTTGAGTCGGAAATATTCATACACATGATGTAATGCACATCGCAGGGGTACAATGCCTTTTAACTGGCGAATTGTTACATCTCAACCACAGAGCATTGTCACCCGTGTGCCAATTAACATTTGGAAATGTCACAAGGTGCGTGTGTGTATTAAGCTGTGCAACGCGTTTCCTTTTCCCGATCTCTCTGACCTCAGGTGTAGCCGTTGCGTTGAAGCAAGCCATGACGCCGGAGTTCAAAATGTACCAGCAGCAGGTGGTCAAGAACTGCCAGTCGTTGGCGGCTCGCCTCAGCCACCACGGCTACAATATCGTCACGGGTGAGCGCCTGCACCTTGGCTGTCCCTTCTCCCCCTCCCCTCCATTACCGTCACCGTCGTGCGTCCTGTTGCTGGGGCGGAGAGCCCCCTCTCCCGTTCGTTGTTGACCGTTTGCCGCCGTGAATGGGTGCTGTTGCAACCAGGGGGCTCTGACAACCACCTGCTCCTGGTGGACCTGCGCACAGTGGACACTGATGGTTCGCGTGCCGAGAAGGTCCTGGAGATGGTATCGATTGCCTGCAACAAGAACACTTGCCCTGGTGAGAGCCCCTCCTCCGCCGTGGTTTAGGGCCCGAGGAGTTTTTTTCCTTCATATATTCTGATTTGAGGGGACTTAGCCGACACCCTTGAGTCGCAAGTGAAGGCGACCAAATGAGATGCACAAAACTCATTGTCCACCCTCATTTCGTGCATTTTTGAGATTGCACAAAACTTGCCATGTGCTGTAATGGTGGATTGTGGGTAATACATTTTAAAAAGGAAGCTTGTCAACCCATGTCCATCACCCTTATGGGACTTGTGGATCATTGGTTTCGAGCAGGATTTGTTCAGGCAGGAAAATCCTGAACCGGTTTCAACTTTGAGAGTTTGAGCAGCCTAATGCGGTGATTCTTTAACGATTCGCATTCGGCATGGCTGATAGCTGATGTAAATTTCACCTTTTAACTGTGTACTGCACTCATAAACTTCTCAATGATCCAACACAAATTCAAAATGGACCCCAAGTGTGAATGAAAAGGCCAACTGAATTGATTTCAGAAGTAGTATTGTAGTGTCATCTTTCGGGACATTTCTGACACTGATGTTGCGCTGTTTGCTGTAAAAGTTTTGAATTGAAATGTTTTTATCAAATGACATGACAGTAATATACATTTATATAAAAACGACTCTGCATATTAAATGACACATTTGCTGATGGGTGCGTTGGCATTGCCAGGCGATAAGAGTGCCCTGCGTCCGAGTGGCCTGCGCTTGGGCTCACCGGCGCTCACATCGCGGGGGCTCATGGAACAGGACTTCAAAGTCATTGCCGACTTCATTCACCGAGGTACGGTTCAATAAATATTCATAGGCTTGATTTGAAGCTTTCGTGACTGCAGGAATCCATACTCTCTGGTACTTTCGGTAAAGTCACGTATATAGAAAAAAATAATAAAAGAAACACGATGTTTCGGTCGCAACACAAGCGTCCGTCATCGGGTGAGAAAATGATCTGCTGTTGTGGCTTTATATAGGCACAGGAAGGGGGGAGGAGTTTTGTCGAGTCGTGGCTGCAGGAATTGCACTTCTTATTTTTTTCTATCTACGTGACTTTACCGAAAGAACCAGAGTATTCATAGGCTTTTGTACATCAATGATCACAATCACAGTTGTCACTTTTCCAGCATCAATTCTTCGATTTAGTTCACTTGTTATTTACACCCTTGGAGTATAGAAACGAATAGCTTACTGCTCTTCGAATGTGCAGTTACACAAAGGATACTATTATCAGAATCTTTATTTATACTGGAGGAATCCGAAGAGCCAATTAAGCTCTTTTTCACGGATGTCATTTTTGGCTAGTCGGAACCCCTCACCCCTAACGCGAATGTACTGAATGCACCGCCCCTCACACTGGTGTTCTGACCCCGTGTACGTGTGCCCACCACGGGCCCACCCCCGCAGGCATCCAGTTGACTCTGGAAGTGCAGGCAGCCGCAGGCGGCAAAGCGGCCACCATCAAGGAGTTCAAGGAGAAGTTGGCGGACACGAACTTCGTCCCCAAGCTGGCCGATCTGCGTGACGCCGTCGAGGCGTTTGCCGAGACGTTTCCGCTGCCCGGCATGCCCGTGCTGTGAAGCGAGCGTCGCCTTTGCCTCGCCACCTCCAACCTCTGACCCGGAGCGAATGCCACACCTACACTCAATCGCCTTTGCATGTGCTTCAGGGCCCGATGTGAGAAATTCGAATTAATATTCTGCTAAAGCGAGGAACACCTTCCTTGCACCAACAGTTTGTTTGAGTTGTAGTGATCAGGCTGGCTTAAAAAAAAAGCCCAGGTTGGCCTTTTATCCAGTCTCGACTAAAAAACAATATCTGGCTTGATTGGCCATGCGATGACCACTTCTACAGGGGGACGGGTGTGTCCTGCACTGCTGCCCAGCATGGATTAGGGACCTTGGAACTAGTCCTCTTCCACAGGCCATTCTCCAATATGGGGGTGCTGTTAATGTAGCAGTCTTATAAAGCTCCGAATGGAAACTGTTTCTTTACATTTAATTACATAAATAGCACAATTTGAATACAATTATGAGAAAAAAAGTACTTTGAAGCCAAGCTGGTACATGCACTGTAAAAATATTTAGGTATATAGGATTTGACACTGATTCATGTTATTACTCTCGAATGATCCAAGCCAGTCATTAACAGTCTACGACAGTGGTTCGTGCATGGTGTGCAATGTTGTACTGTAAAAAATATCTGTCATAACTTACCAGTCCCTGTGGATATGAACACCCAGCCAGCCGACTTCGTTGGCTCCCGCTGATTACGGTGACCCACCCCAGCCACGAAATATGGTGCCTTTGCACATACCTACCAATTTGTTGGTAACGTTTAAGCCGATTTATAATATATTACTTTTTAAATGTTATTTTGCAATTGTAATGGTTATTCATCTACTTTATTTCAAGAATTTTAAGAGGCAATTAATCGTAAAATGGAAGCTTTAGCCAGTGTGGCAGCAAGCCATGGTCAATGAGAATAACTTTTGTGGACCACTGAACCATCCATGTCTTAGGGACCTGAAAACTGACATGTGGCTATGCCAAATAAACAAGTGCCTTACAACACAGCCCTTTTTAAAGAAATATTTGTTTTCCCTTCCTGAACCATGTTTAAAGGATTAATATGAAGGTTTGTGCATAAGAAATCTAGTTAATCCGACGGTTAATTTTATGTAGCATTCATGAACATTATCTCGCAATCAAGACAAGCTGTGAAAGGCAGCCAGGTGGTGCATCGCTGCCAACAATTGCTCTGCAGTTTCTCTACATTAAAGTATCGGCCAATTTAGTGTTTGTACATGTGGGAGGAAAGGAGCTACTGGAGAATACCTATGCATCAGTCTGCACTTTGTGTACTGCATTCTGCTGGCAAGCCAGGGTATTGCACCTCCATGCCTATGGGAAGGGAGTCTTGCAACATTTGACGTGTGCCATCCATCAACCCTCGCCTCCAATGCATCACCACCTGGTGAGGGTGCGCCACTGGGGAGTGGTGAGTTTCCTGGGAAGGTGGCAGTGCTGGGTGAGCAAAGGGATGTGAAACCTCAAACTGTAGGTGGTGCTGTGGACACCAAAAGGAAATGAAAATACACGAGGGTGCATAATTAGGGGTCACGAAGAGAACAATGCCCACCCAACTCTGCTTTCTCGTACTTAGGTTTTTAGAGGAAATCGCCACCGCCCCCCCCCCCCCCCAACAAAATCGAGCAACAGCTGTGACACGATACCCGTAAAGCTTTATTTGAGCCAGACGCATCAGCCCACAATGGCGGTGGCTCCTTTGTCCCTTCATAACCAACCATTCTTCCAGACACCACATACGAGCACGTAAACACCACGACCGCAGAATCTTGGCTGGCACTGCAGTCTGCCCAATTGAATGCAGTGTTGTACTTTTACAGAGACCCAAATTACGTTTCCAACCGAGGGGTTTTAACCACGCTGTTAAAACTAGTGAGGACATTTCTGCACGTAGCATTGTGCAAGGCATTAACGTTCATCTAATTGATTTGCTTTTCGCAACGTGAATTGCCGGTTTAAACATGTATTCATGTTAATGCATTATTTTGCTCGCCTTTAAATCTGAAGCACCAGAGTGTACTGACATTGAAGATGGAGAGCAGGGTCTTTTTACGGTTCCCGTAATGTTAAGATTTGCAACAACTTTGGTCCTCAGTATTTTGTGCAACACAGCTTTGCATGTTTTCCCCATTTGGGACGTTCTGGGTTACAACGACAATTGTAAATTTTAGTAAGGGTTAACTTAAATTTGTATTTGAAGCTTTCATGACTGCAGGGATTAATATTCTTGGCTCTTTCTGTAAAGTCACGTAGAAGGGAAACAATAAAATAATAAAAATATAAAACAATAAAATTCTCAACTTGTTTTATATTTTTATTATTTTATTGTTTCCCTTCTACGTGACTTTACCGAAAGAACCAAAAATAAGGGGTAACTTATTGACAAGCGCCATGTGTAAACTGAGGAACTTAAGAACGGCTCCCCACCTGCAAGAGAAGTTCAAAGTATGAGAATGACAGACCTGAAGTGGATCCAAACTACATTTGGTTTCGCATCCTTAGTTTTATTCCCCTTAAGCCAAGACACTGTCCTCAAGGATTGGAGGGGACCAGTGGAATAGCATGGGCGAGTACTGGCAGTGGACGTCTGCATTCATTATCCATGTCCCATCGTGTGCAAGCGCTGTGAACTAATCCAACAGAGGCCAAAGGGCATGGTTGACTTGTCCTGTCGTTGCTGTAATCAGGTCGGCCCACGTGGTAGAACGGCATGTAGGCGTGAGTAAAATTGGTTACTTCTCCCCCCCCCCCCCTCCTAAACACTTCTGCAAATGGTATCATTTAAAACATTCCCACGATAACTATCCAGAACATTCATAACAACATACAAACCGTGACATTTGAAAATAAAACCGTTTCCTTTTGTTAGCGTGTAGGTTTACGGTAACATTAATGTAACATTAGAAGCCGCCGGCAGTAAATAGATATTCTTGAAAAAATACTCTCCTTTAAAATTAGTGCACTGCGGGTAACCTTCAAGATTTAAAAACAAACCCGTGGAAACGCTGCGGTTAGCGTATGGCATTACAGTTTACAACTCAAAATCAAGTTTTAAAACTCAGCAAGGTGCCGCTCTGTACAGAATACAAAAAAACACGACGGCTAACATTGCAGGCAAAGGCGCGTTTCAGGCAAGGCATGCTCGGGAGGGAAGACAGGGTTTGGCACAGAGTATTCGTGGTTTGTTTAGCAGCACCATTAACTCACTAGAGCATGCAGAAAATTGCCATTGTCTCCAGAAAAAAATTTGTCACATTCACTCCGGCTGTTTAACATGCTGACTGCCTTCAACACAAGTATCCTAGCACCAAGCTTTGACAGGCCTGTGCACCTCAACTCAAAATTACGGAGCACTGGACATGTTTATCCATGCGGCAATGATAATGTGTAGTTTTAAAACCATGTTGCTGCATGGCTCTTCCAAACCGTTCAGCCCTGCAGCTGTGGGGAAGCTGAGAGTAGCACAGTATTTCGAGCACATGTATCCTTCCACTAACTTTTAAAATTACGACATGCATTTTAATACACTGCAACATTTTGGTTTTTTGATCAACATGTGCAGGCCCCTGGTGCTTCACTTTAAAAGTTAAAATGAAAAAAAAACACTGAATTTGAAGGAAATGGTTACGTATCGGTTCCCCTTTAAAAAAATGGAAATGCTAGCAATAACGGAGGCAGCAGCAGCAAGCAAGCCAGCCAGCCATGGCGATCCTCTTAAAGGGACACGTGTGCCCGTCAGGGCGTTAGCTGTCCACCACCATGTCCACGTTCCTGAAAGGCTGGAACCGGAAGGTGGAGCTGCTCACGTAGTCGACCCTGAGGGCGGGCGGGCACGCGCACCGCCCCATCGCCCCACGCTCGGCCATCAGCTCGGCCAAGTGTCTCACGATGTGCGCGTCGTCTGGGAGGAGACCCAGGCGGGAGCCGCACCACTCGGCGACGGCGCCGCGCGGCAGGGCCTCCGCTTCGTCGGCGGCCCCGGTGCCCGCAGGGCGGCAGCGACCCCACAGGTGCGAGCGCAGCACGAAGGCTTTGGACGAGAGCTCAGCGACGATGGCGCCCGCACGTGACAGGTACGCCCGGTTACCGGCTAGGGATCGTCCGTGCAGGCCGGAGAGGTTGGCGAGCGCGGTGCCCTGGTATAGCGGAGTCGTGAGCGCGCCGCTCGCTGTGTCCAGCACCGACACGTAACGGCGGTAGCGCAGCAGGGCGTCATGCACCGCCTGCGAGCTGGGGGGGTGGGGGGGAGGGTTTGGTGAGGGTTTGTGATACACAAGTGGAGCCAGACCCGAGGTCAATTACAGCTGTAATTGTCACTCGTAATGAATTACATTCGCAGTGCAATTGTAATTTTAGCTGGCAATACTGCTGTAGATCTAATTATAATTGACCCGAGGTCTTAAGTGCGACGCCGCTCAGATTGTCACGTTTACAGGAGCCCCTCGCTACCAAAACTGCATTACAGCACTCGACCTGAGCCCCATATACTTTTGATCTTCATGCATTAATTGACTTTCGCTAACATCAAGTGTCCTGCCATCACGAAAAAACTGGTCATTGCCACCAAACTCCCCTGTTTCTATAACAACATGACTGACCAAAGACTAACGGGTGGAGATTTAAACATCAGTTCCTGTCGCAAGTGGTCACCTCTTCATGCCGACGAGTTTGACCGTGGCGATGTCGCTGATGCGCAGGGCATCTGTGCGCCACGGCTCTACGGCGGGACGACTGCGACGATGACCGTGCCCACCACCGCCGCCGCCGCCACCATGCCCGTGCCCTCTCCCACCGGCCGGCACGAAGGGAAGCAGCGCGTCGATGGTGCGGCGCGCCTGCGTCTCGCCCTCGGCCAGCACGGCCAGCGTGCGCCCGCTGAGCAACGCGAACAGCACGTGCGTCATGGGCTTGCCGAGCCGCCTAGCCAGCTGCAGCGCGTCGAAGCCGTCGGCCGCAGGCGCCGGGGTCTCTAGCCCGCGGCTCAGATGACTGCTGCTGCTGTCTGAGAATGTGTCTGAATGCGCCAGCAGCGGCGGACCGACAGAGAGGGAGAGACAAACGGAAAAAAGTCAACATGCTGGTTATTTGAGCACGTAACGATTTTTTGTTTATCTTGTGACATGTCATGCCCAAGTCTCCTTGATACGTTCCCGAATCCAGTCGCTCGTCTTTCTTTTTCAGTGTAATTCCAAGCATGCATCTCTCCCTGATTGTTCACACCCTTTAAAGCTTTTGTTCCATCCTCCTCAAGTGTACATGTTTCTGGTCCAATCTATCTCTCTAAACAACTCAGAATCTTTATTTATCCTGGAGAAATCCGATGAGCTATGAAGATCTTTTTCACAAATGTCCAATCGGGGCGGGTCAGAAAGTTACAACAGCAAACAACATTCAACAACTGTTTCCTCACAATCAGCTTCTATGATCGATCAAATCGTTACTTTAAGTTATGAATGCAATGCTTTTTTAGTTTTTCATTGCCATCTATTTCTACACTTAGTATGTTTTGCTTCAATAAAAGTTTGGTTAAATTTCTGTTGTAAAGCACTTTACTATCTCAATTTAAAGGTTTTTTTCTGGCAGTTATTTTTTTACTAAGTTTTTACTGTTCCTGTACATGCTTTGATTATTCTGTGCTTCGGCATACACTTTTGTATGATAAGTCTCCCATGATAGATTAGTAATTTAAATGTGCTCTTTCCTGTGTATGGGCAGTTCCATGTATCCAGCAACTTCAGTCAATATAATACTACACGTGGGGTGTAATTTTGAAGGTTTTAGAAAATGTGGTTTGACACAAAGTGAAGATGCATGCACCAGCACCATCCCAGCATGAATGAAAAAGTTAGTTGGTCCGAGTACATCGAACAGTGGTATTCTCCAATAATTTCCGCCTTAAAAAAGCTGGACAACTGACCTCCATCCGAATTGCTGGTCTAATTGATTTATATGCTAGGCCAGGGGTCGGAAACAAACATAACAGCCATTT